CATTGACGACATCATGATCGCAGCAGAATCGTGGGATCAAATGTGCCGAAGGGTTGAAGATCTGTTGGAGGCTTGCGACAAGTGGAATTTATCGATCAGTGTGGCGAAGAGTTTCTGGGGCATGGATAAGGTAGGATATCTGGGACATCGAGTGTCGATCGGAGGTCTAGAGGTGAACCCAAAAGATCTGAAGTCCCTGACCGATCTGCCGTTCCCTGGGTCACTTCGATCCATGCAGTCGTTTCTGGGTAGTTTGAATTACTACAGCCGATTCATTGAAGACTACGCTATCTACGCTTCGGTACTATATGAGCTACGCGAGGTGGAGTTCGCAGAACTGGAGAAACGATCAGATCTGAGGAAGATCATGGACCAGAACGACCCGATTGCACGGGATCACGGCCTTCAGCTGGTGGAACCACTAAATGAGAGGTGGATCAGGGCGCATAAGGCCTTCATCACAATGAAAACCAAGAGCGCGACAACTCCGATCCTCCGACTCTTCGACGAGACGAGAACGCCGGTAGTTATTGTAAAAGACTACGCTATCTACGCCTTCTTTGACGCAAGAACACGACGGGATCTACCACCCGGTTGCGTTCGCCAACCGCACCTTGAAGACGAACGAGTTGAATTACAATGTGACCGAAAAGGAGGTGTTGGCATTGCTGAGGATCTTGGATCTCTACTACAATTTACTAGTGGGCGCGAGATCCGGGTCTTAACGAGACATTCCACGTTAGCCAGGCTGTTCAAGTCGACGGGATTACAGGGTCGCCTAGGACAATGGTCAGCCCTCCTGGCCCCGTGGACTCTCGAGATCACGAAGTACACAAAGGGTGAGGTCGAAATACTGGGGGCGATCGCTGCTAGCATCACGCCGAGAGCGAAGATCGACGACGCTCTGACCGATATCGCTCCCCGGAAGGAACCTAAACGCCGGATCCAAGCTCCTATACCCACCGTAGATCGAGGAGAGGAATTATGGGTTGTCAGTTTTGACGGATCCGCTCGAGTAAAGCGTGGCGGGGGCACGTTCAGCGCGATCGTGTGGCTCAAAGCTAGATCGGGCTATCTCGAGAGCCTCACCGTGAACGAAGCAGAGTATAACGGCCTGGTCCTGGGACTCGGCATGCTAGAGAACCTAGATCGCAAACGCCTTGTGATCTGCGGTGATTCCAACTTAGTGATCCGACAAGTACGGGGTGAGATCGATTGTAAAGCACCCGGGCTGACGCTACTGAAGCAGAAGGCCCTCGATCGCCTGAGGAAATGGAGCGATCACGATCTAGTGCATGTGCAGAGAGACTGTAATGGGGGTGCCGACAGTCTAGCGAGTGCTGCTTTGCAACGACCAGGCGGGATCGAGGTCCAGGGAGAGCCCGAATTCCAAGATATGTTCACCTTGAACCGGTTGGACGAGATCCTGATTCCCAAGACCGGGAACCCAGTGGTGCGAGTTGCTGCGGTCACCACCCGAGCTTCCCGAGTAAGATCACCTGCGGGTGTCATGCAAGAGGACTTAATCCGGGAGATGCGGGTTGATCGGATCAAGCGGGATCAGGAGGAGGAAGTCTGGATCGCAGGCATGAAGAAGTACCTGAGTGGCTCGATCGCAGCCCCTCACTCAAGCAGAAGCAGATCGTATGACAAGATCGCTGCCGACTATGAGGCGGACGAACAGGATCTATTCTTCTACTGCCCCTCTGCGCCAAGATCGGGGGATGATCGCGATCGGTTGCTGAGATTGGTCGTTCCCGAAACGCTACAATCGGACGTCTTACTTCACTATCGCACTACGTTGGAAGGAGGACATCAGGAAGTGGGACGTACTTATCAGCAGATCAGGGATCACTTCTACTGGAGAGTGGAGAGGACTATATCGGATCGTCCAGCGATATGTGAGAAATGCGTGGACTGTGAAACAGGGAAAGGAAGACCGGTGATCCGGGGTGAATCCCTGGGGAACTTGCAGGCGACGTACCCGTTGCAGATCATTGCGATGGATCACATACCGTCGCTACCTAGATCCCACAAGGGAAATACTGAGTTGTTGATCTGGGTCGATCTGTTCACAGGATATGTGATCGCGAAAGCTAGCACGTCCCGATCGGCCCAAACGGTCACTGAATCGTACGAAGAGTGTGTATTTCGACGATTCGGTACCAACGAGATGATCCGGCATGATCGAGAACCGGGTTCATGTCCGATTTCTTCCGGGCGTTTAGCAAGATCCTGGGACAACGGCAGCGGTCGACGATGGCATATCGGCCACAAGCCAACGGGACCGCTGAGAGAATGGTGCAAACTGCGACCAGGGCGCTCAAGATGTATGTTCGCTATCTCGATCAGAAGGATTGGGATGAGTATGCCGAGCGACTTACCTTCGCGATCAACACGGCCCACGATCGGATCCGAGGAGATACCCTTCACTATTTGGTGCATGGTTGGGATCCGAGATCGACGTTGGAGGCTACATTGCCAGTCGGATGCACTACACGGCGCGATCGAGATGCACGGCGATGGCGTTGTCGGGTCCAGCGATAATATCAGCAGTCCCGAGAGCAAGTCAACGCCAGATTGAAGGTTTGCAGATCGGCCCAGCCGCCACAACGAGGATGTCGGATCGCACCAGATCGAGGCTGGATCTCGTGTCTGGTTGTACCTAGACCGGGTGAAGGAAGGATATGCGCGGAAATTGGCTCACCTGTGGCATGGGCCATTCCGAGTTGCCGAAAAGATCAACGAATTCAGCATCAAGCTTGAGATCGCGGGTACTGGGTGCCAGATCTTTCCAGTCGTTCACGTGTCGAAGCTGAAATTGGTCAAGGACTTTCCTGATCGGCCACGAATAGAACTCTCGGTGGACGAGTCGGATCGCCTCGATTTCGATGAGGTCCTGCCGTTCACGTGTCGAAGCTGAAATTGGTCAAGGACTTTCCTGATCGGCCGCGAATAGAACTCTCGTTGGACGAGTCGGATCGCCTCGATTTCGATGAGGTCCTGCTCCCGGAGGACAGCTGGATCCCAGATCTCGGGGCCGACGAGTACGAAGTCGAATGGATTTCGGATGTGCGGAGTGGGAAGAAAACGCGATTCGGTCGGATCTACCGAGAATTCCTGGTGCATTGGGTAGGATATGACGAGCCGACCTGAGTCGACGAAGCCGATCTCAACTGCGGGGCAATACTGAACGCCTTCCCGCGAGAACGAGCTAATCGTAACCGCTTCAATGTGATGCAATATCATGAGGAGATGTAAGTAGGACGGGGTGATTGTCTGATCGTCTCGACCCCGAGGAAGTGCAAGTCGGATGAGACTGAGATCAGAAGTGCATGCATATAAGAAATGTCGACCTTCGCAAGGAATGTCGACCTTCGCAAGGAATCGCGGAAGGCGTGGTGAGCCTGAAGAGAGATCACTTAAGAGAAGCGGCGAAAAGTGCAAACAAGCAGAAGACGTGGCTGAAATTAGAAAATTACGAGATCGACAAGGAAGAATCGCGATCACGGGATGGCGAGTGGAGATCACGGAAGCTTTCCCTGGAGTGAAGTCGGATCTACGATCAAGGGGCCGCTGGAGGGTTGAATTTTTTCGGGAGACGAGGGATCTGCAGCGATGGGTGAGCGGTACCAGGATCGCGGTAAAGGTTCTGCCAGGGATCAGCCTGATACACTCAATAGGGCCGTGATCAGGTCGGTCGGTTCGGGGAGATTCGCGGTCGGCTGCGCGAGATTAGCCGCCCTGGAGACGTATCCGGGATACCAGCGTACCCAATGCTTGGTTGTCTGCAGGTGGAGGAAATAGGGATCCAGCAGGACGTCGATATCATCCCGCTGACTCCTCATCATTAGGAGGCACCCCCCCCCAACAGTTTCCGCCAACTTTCTCCAACGCGGATGCGTCGCTGACGTCGATCCTGGTGGTAGATGAAGAGATCAGGATCCGCGGCGGCCGTCACGTTCGTGATCTCGAGGTAATGGGTCGATTCCCAATACGCGATCAGGTGATCCTCCTCCAGGGCAGCATACGATACGGCGATCCGCCATAGAGGAGTGTCAGCCCGCCGGTGCAAGTTGTGATCGAAAGTCAGCGGAGTGGGGCGATTCTGTCCAAGCATGCGCCACGGCTCAGTAGCCATGAGAGCCAATACTTTGGCACCAGTGATCAGCTCAGAACGGTAACCAGTCACGGGTATGGACGCCCGGACAAAGGGCGTCCGAGCAGGGAACAGGCGGAATCGGCAACCTTTTGGTCAAAGTAGCCTCGATCATTGGCGACGATTGGTACGGTGCCCACGAACACTGGATCCCACGGGGTGATCTCGGCTGTCGTGAATATCTTGACCGTGGAGTATAGGGGAACACTGACCTCGGCAGGAAATAATGGCGGATTCAGCTGGAGAGGTGAGCCACCACCAGGGGAACCACCCCCTGGACTTCCTCCGGGAGATCCGTGAGGTGAAGGAGGGGGAGTCGAGGGTCCATGATCAGAAGAAGGGGAATGGTCATCACCTGGCACCGCCGCCACCTCCGCCTGGGATCTCGTGCTTATCTTCGAGTTCCTCACCCTCCGGACCTTCGATCTTGGGCTAATCTTGGTCAATCGACGGGGAAATAGGCCGATCGCTGCGAAGCGTCTTGAGAGGCGGTAATTGGGGAGGAGAACTGGGCGGACTTCGCTCACGTTTTGGCATCCGGGCTGCTTGACTCTCTCGGATCCGGCTAGCGAGATGCGTGAGGAGCAGATCGGCCTCAGCCAGATCACTTTCAGCCAGATCTCGCAATTCGACGAGTTGGTCGTGAGCAAGCTGGAGATCAGCCATCCTGCCCTCCCATCCCTGAAGCTCCAGGCGAACCACTTCGAGATCATCGTTCAGTTGGGCGGCGCGGGCAGTGCAGAGATCTAAGCGGACCTGATCGCGCTCCGAAACGCGGACCTGCTCTTGCAAGTCCCGGATCTCGTCGTCGGCCTGGATGGCTTCCTGGCGCAGACGATCGCGATCCGCCTCAGCATGGTGAAGATCTTCACGGGCGGAAATCGTGTGACGCTCGAAGTCGTTACGTTCGGTGCGAAGTTGGAGAACTTGGGCGCGGAGAACTTCAGGATCGTCACCGGCGTCGTGGGTGAGGGTCGAGATCACAGCCTCTAGGCGGGTGATTTCGTCTCCCTGGCCGTGCTGGAACTCTTCCATGTCCCGGATGTCCGATCGCAGCTGGCGGACTTGCCGATCGAGGTGATCTCCATCGCGGACGAGGCGATCTCGCGCGAGGTTGCTCTGGCGGAGCTCACCCTCCAGGGTGGTTAATCGCCGACCCCGATCGGAGGTGTGGGAGCGCGAGCGACGCGAGATGTTCGATTGTCGCGATCGGTTGCTCGCGGTGGACAGTGGTGAGTCGGGAGGAGTCAGAATCCGGGGGACTCTCGTAGTCGCTTCCTGCCTGACTCATGGGGATAGCTGGCGAAGGGATAAAGAAGAGTGCGTCCGAGTCGGCGAATTGTGGAATGAGGCCTGAAGTGAACCAGGACAGTCCGACTTGCAGACTGAGGGCGGATGTGGCAAAGTGCGATCAAGATCTCGCGAGAAGAGCAACCTCGGCTGCCAGATCGCGAGATAGAGACGGACCAGGTGACAGAAATCCACTCCAGGCCAAGACCTCAAGGCATCTCTCCAAGATCCAGCGTGCGACAACATCGGGGAGTGATGTTGACTACGGATGACCCAAGATTGACCCTGGAATGATGGATGGTGACAATACCCCTACCGCGATACGAGAATGCAAGATCAAGGAGAATGGATGGACATGAGTCGCTCCCGACCCGCGATCTGGAATCGCGATGGACCGGCGGACATTGACTGATGAAAGATGACTACATTGCAGCCGTGCTCACTACAGATCAAGATACCCCAGGTATAGGCGATCCCGGGTCAAGGCAAGAAGGTGATCCAGGGTCGGAAGAAGGCGGCGGGACGAGATCGTCGGGAGGCAGTCGTCACGCGCCCCAGGATAAGCGGCAGCGAAGAAGATCACCGCGCGACGGCGGCCAAGAGATGACTCAAGATCGGGATCCCCGATCGTGATCGCCGATCGGCGATCGGCGATCCCAAGATGAGGTATGTATCCAGATGTCAGGTGATCGTAGGAAAGCAGCTGAGGATGGGTAGTGGACATAGGAATAAAGTAAACATACTCGAATCTGCTCTAACCCACACAAGTGTCCGCTCTCGCCTGGAAACGGGGATTAGTTTGGCCCCTCAAGCGCGCAGACGGTAAGGACTTAGG